AGGTTAGGGTTGAGAATTTCAACTCGAATATGACTCGAATATGACCCGTTTATTTATATGCAAGTTTTTTGAATTATTTAAATAAACTAGAAAGATACAAAACCAAAACCATAAGTAAAAGAAAACCTTCGAATTAAGTCGTTTTGTAATGTTGAAATGACTTAGCCGTCTAGATCAAGACTTAATTTCAGTTTTTCCATTCTCTCCCAAACTACCCAGTCTCTTTCACCACTCTCACATCCTCGCGACCTTTTCATCCGTCTCCCCAACTCCCACTCTTTTAATTGTGTCATCTAAACTTGCTATGACTTCATCTATTCTGCCTCCAAACTATTAGTTTTTCCTTTCCGCCTACCCAAATCCTATTCTTTTAACATGATCAATCTTTTAACCTCACATGACACGACATATTTCAAGGTATAGCCCTAACCCGAAACCCGACACGAACTCGACACGAAAATAAACGGGTTGACACGACACGACACGTTAATTAAATGGGTCGGGTTAGGGTCAAACACTTTCAACCCGTTTAGTGTTTCGACACGACACGATTGCCACCTCTACTTCTAATACTATGAAATGTGTCTATCTTAATAATTTGTGCCCAGTTACATTCTATATAGACAAATATATGCAAATAGTCACTCAACCAAATGGAAAAATATTAGAATATAACACATTACTATGCCCTTAAGATTATTTTGTAATATCCATCACATGTTAGGTACATTTATATTATTTATATTATGCATCATAAAGTTTTTCATACATGTTAGATACATTTATATTATATCATAAAGTTTTTCATAATGACATATGAGATCCCTAGGATTAATAATATATAGTATAAATGGATATGATATTTATGCAGGGACCAAAATTATGTGGTTCTAATATTTTCCCATAGTAATTGATCAATAAATACACACATATTGAGAGGTCATACGTTTTCTTAGGAGAGAATAACGTTTCTTCGTTTTACATTCTTAATCCTCTCTATAATCACCATCATAATGTGTGATTCAATCCATCAAAATCAATCATTCAAATGCCAATTATGGTAATCATCTTCAATATCACATTCTTTAAAATGGATGTGTAAAATATATCCTTTCAGCTAACTCCTGTTTACTAATTTGGTCCATTTGGATCATATTTTCATTGGGCTTTAGCCCATATCAAAACATAAACGATGAAACCATAATTCCACTAAATAGGGTAATAAACCATAAAGTATAAACATATCCATGGGACCCACACATTGGTAAACCATGAATCGTAGCCTGTGCCGGCATCACATGCTGTCGGTCAACGAAGACCATCCAAAGCTACGTGCCGCAATCTCTTTGTCTCCATTAAATTCTATCGGGAACCCTTTTTAAGTTTTAACCGATATGTGTTCTCTACTTTAGTTCATTAAAATAATCATTAAATGCATCAGAAATTGTCGCTTAAGAAATTGAACATGTTCTTCGTGTTAGAGCAACACCGTGATTACCAATTTTTATGCATACTAAAACGTAAAACATGAAACAAAATGAGTAATATTATTTTTAGGGTGCTACTATTCATCCCTTATTAGAATCACCCTATTTTCATTTGAATCAAAGTTAATAAACCTCGTTTGACAATGTCAGAAAACATAAAAGCCTTGTTTTTTAAATATATATGGTTGGAAAATGGGATTGTGAGTCAAAGATTCTTCTTACTACGTACTGGGATTGAAGCACTGCACACTTCCCAAGTTTCCTTTAGGTCTTTCATGAATCACGCCATGGACTACTTTTTTGTTTTCTTGATTTATATATAGTTCAAATAATTCTCTTCTTTTTTATATGAATTGAAAGTATTTCTTTCTTTCAATCAAAGTATCTATACATACACAAATGTCTTGGAGAATGATTGAATTTAAGCTTTAATTTCAAATGTATTTAGATTATGGCCGATTTGCCAGTGACATGCCCCGCTTTATTTGTATTCAAAACATGTCAGTAAAATTCTTGTGTCCAATATGTTCAGAATTGCTCAGTTATTGACATCTTAAGACATCCGATGTGTGGATTTGATCATCTTTTGATGCTTCAATATGACATCTTTAAATATAGATGAAAGTAAAATTACAATTTAATAGTATGTGTGCGCTTGATATTTGGATACAATTGACATTAAAAAATCGATTAGTAAAATGATAAAAACGATTAAAATGGTGGGAGCTAATTAACAAAAAGGACTATTTTTCAGACAGGTTATAAAATGCACATCAATTCCACAAACACCAAACGCAAAATGGTTATTATAAAATAATTCATATATTGCAAAAGGTATGATTTTTTTCGTTAACAATAGAACGTTTAAATGGTGACAACGTTCTTAATTTGATATGGGCCTTAAAAATTTTATCTAAAAAGAAATTTTTATTTTCTTAAATGGTTCAAGTTCAACTTCAACCCTTTTGATTATTTTTGTGATTTTCCTTTTAAATTGAGAAGGGATAATCACTTGAAAGGGTAACGAACTTTCGACTTTTGTCACATTTAGTCACTAAACTTTTTTTCGTTATCTATTTGCCATTGAACTATTGAAATTGTTCACATTTTACCCTTATGACCGGCTGTTGTCGGTCATAAGAGTAAAATGTGAACAGTTTCAATAGTTCAATAGCAAATAGATAACGAAAAAAAGTTTAGTGACTAAATATGAACAAAATCGAAAGTTTGTTTCCCTCTAAAAAGTTCAATGACTAAATGTGAACAAACTTCCTCTTGTATTATGTTTTAGCAAATTATTTATTTTTATTAAATTGTAGCAACATTTGTTGATGAAGAAATCTATGAAATAGAAAAAAAAACAAAACAAAACAAAACAAAACCCTGAAAATGTATTTAAAAAAAATAAAAAACCAAAACCGAAATACAAAACCAATGGTTTGACATTTTCCAAAATAAAAAATCAAAATTTTCAATCTGATTTTGGTTTTACAAAAAAATGAACCATTCTCACTGATATGAATTATGACCATTGGTTTGGCATGCGAAATTTGTGACATCCCATGAATATGTAGTTACAACATCGTCTGAACTCGTAATTCATAGTAAGGGGTTAGAGTATCATCGCATGAATACGTAGTTACAACATCGTCTGAACTCGTAATTCATCACCTACAGGTTATGGGCATGCTGGTGTTTCCATTGTGTTGCCTAGAATAGTCCATGATCGCCATCTATACTTTGGTAGATGACTACATCGCCACATTGCTGGTTAAGGTTATGGTATCTCCTTTTATCCTACATCACATATTCATCATCATCTATATACCTAATTATCATCACCTTTCTATCATTACATATCTCTAATCATTTTATTTCATCACACACCAACTATTTCATATACCCATGTTTCATCCGCAACATATTTGTAGATATAAAATAAATATATCGTTTAAATCTTTTAAAACATGTATAAAATCATTCATCCAACATGGACAACAAGTATTCAAATAATATGCACACATAGCACGTAATTTATATAAAATACGTCATATCTATGTGTAAGATGAAAGTAACAATATCTACCATAAAAATCCCACAAATGCTTCCTAACTTCGAACCCCAAGGTTTACTCTACTAAAGCTTCATATTCTTGGCTCTCTGAACCTAGAAGGGTCCAGATCTATCACACCAAAAAGCACAAGATAGCTCTTCCTCTCACTCTACACACTCAAGCTCGCTAGGGTTCTCACTTATGGGAAAGGTAGTGGCAATTGAAGGCCATAAGTGCCTTTAAATATGGCTCGGGCCCAAAGATTTAGGGTTTCTGCCGACAGCGCAGACTCGTCGAGTCGCCTCACCGACTTGTCGAGTCCATTCATTAATCCGAGTCATCAGTCGCGACCTTACTCGACGAGTTGAGGCGTCAACTCGCCGAGTCTCTCTTCTTAACTCAAAAGAAAAATACTTAAATTATGATACCTAGAAATCCGGATGTTGCATTTTGTTTTTTTATTTCATAGCTTTCTTTATCAACAAATGTTGCTACAATTAAACAAAAATAAATAATTTTGCTAAAACATAATACAATAGGAAATTTGTTCACATTTAGTTATTGAACTTTTAGAGGGAAACAAACTTTCGATTTTGTTCACATTTAGTCACTAAACTTTTTTTCGTTATCTATTTGCCATTGAACTATTGAAACTGTTCACATTTTACCCTTATGACCGGTAACAGCCGGTCATAAGGGTAAAATGTGAATAGTTTCAATAGTTCAATGGCAAATAGATAACGAAAAAAAGTTTAGTGACTAAATGTGACAAAAATCGAAAGTTCGTTACCCTTTTAAGTCATAATCCCAATTGAGAACCCAGAAAGAGAATGTCACATCATCATTTTTTGATTTACATCATTAATCAAACGAAGTAAATTGTTTTAATAGAAAATGAGTTTTATATACATGTTTATAATTTAAATGGCAAGGACACTAACATAAATCTGGGATATAGCTGGCTTCAACTTAAGTCACCATCATCAATACTTGTACACTATGCAGAAAATATATACAAAATGCAACAAAACCAAATGTAGTAGTAAGTAGAGTAGTCACCTTTCATTACTAATAAAAAACGTAAATTTACAACTTTAGACCTCACAAAACCCAAATACAATGCAAAAAAAAAAGATTTCCAATGGCCCAATACCAAGGGCAAAAACGTCAATTACAACTATGGCGGGTGGTAATAGTCCACCACTGCCCTAAAACACAAAAAAAAAAAAAAAAAAAAAAAAACAAAGAAAACCAAAACCAAACCCAAACCCAAAACAAACCCTAGGCACCCTAAACTAAAACTAGATGGGCACCCTAAAAAAACAAAATGACTAAAAGGACCCTATCAAAATAAGCCCATAGTCATTATAGTAGTAGCTATTGTAGTTGCTAAAAGATACAATAGTAATACCTAGGTGACCACTTAAACCAATTTCCAAAACAAGGGTAAAAACGTCTTTTCATCTGAATTGGGCACCGGCGAAGGTCTGCCCGAAAGACCAACCGGAAGGGACGACATTGTTAGAGACCACGGTTTTACCATCACTTGTGGTGACCTTAAAAGAAAGACTCTGCCCGTTGAGATAATTGTTGGATTGCCAATTTTGCCCCCAGTTTCTTGACATTTGTTGCCACCCAGTCTTTGACCCTTTAATTGCCACCGAATGAACATCACCGGCGCCACCCACATTTGTAATCAACACCAAATTGAAATACGAATGTCCATTGATTTGGAACCTAATTCCACCCCTTCTAACACATGGAATCCTACAAAAACAAAGAAAATACATTAAGCGAAGTTACCATAATACCCTTGTGAGTTGGGTGTGAGGGTGTTTTCGTAATTTCTCACCTTCTGTAAGCAACAGGGACGATTCCGGCTTTGTATTGAGCGATATGTTGGAAGATAGGCTGAGAGAGATCGAAGTGTTGGTTAGGAGGGTTGCACCACCCACCGTCGGAGTTCGGTGGGCAGAAGTTGGTGGCGGTGACCTTAATAGACCCCGGCAAACACCATTGATGGTCGTTCACACACTTGATTTCAAAGCACGAACCACAGCTCAAACCATTGTTGAACAAAGCAGTACTTAACGCTGCTGTGTTTGTACCATACCCTTGACTATACAGATTCCCATACCCACAAGCACCACCTATCAAAACAACACCAAAACTCAGTCAGTTAATCGAAGAAAGAGAGAGATAGAGATAAGGAGAGTAAAGATTTGAAGATTTGAAGATGAAGTAAAACATATTACATACCCATTGTGCCGGAGGCATCACCACCGCCGTAGAAGGTGGCATGTGCATTAACCCAACCACCATCGCCATTGACGGAGGAAGCAATTGAGAGAAAACCCACAACTAAAAAACCCAAAATAGCCATGGAATTCATTCTAATCGAAGAATGTGGGTTGTTTGTGAGGAAGATGAGTAAAAATGGCGAGGTGGTTATGAAGAAAATTGGAGGAAGTGTGAAGCATATAAATAGGAGTGTTTTGGGGGTTTAGGGTAAAAAGGCAAAAGGGCAAAAGAGTACCCCACTTGGAAAATATTCAAAATATTGTCGCGGGCCGTCTATGAAAGAATTAATTAATCAAATATTCAAAAAATGTATGAATTGGAAATTTATTTTAAATCGAATCAACTATTATTTTCTATTACATTCAATGACATGTTTTTTTTTCTATTGTAATAGATTAATTGAAACGTTTTTTTTTTCTATGATGTTGTTGTATTTTAAAATTGTTACATGTGTTGGAGTTGTTTGTTGTTTAAAGAGAAATTGCGCGAGTTGTGTTTTGTCTACAAAGCAAAAAGAAAAAAGTAGAGTTTGATTTGAAGATTTTTAGAAGCTTTTGATGGATATTGGTTACTTGTGTTGTAAATTTGTCCGATGTGCTAAAGGGTTAAATGACATAAAAACATACGTTGCGTACTAAATTTGTTTGATGCACTAAATATATATATGTTCATTTTCATTTTATTACAAAACTAGGTGTGAAACTCGTGTATTACACGGGTTGATTAAAAAAGTTAAATATAAGGTGTAAATATTAAGTATTTTCTAAAGTAATTTTTTTTTAAAAAATATAAATGAAATGATGAATAAGTAATTCAATATATACTAATAAAAAAAATTATTATTATGTTTTAAAAAAGCGTGTTGAATATGAATGTGTAAAAATTAACTATTTTTTAAAGTAAACTTTCGAAATAAATACAATAAATAGAATAAATCATAACGACCATTTATGTAATTTGTCTTAATTAATCTATACTAATAAAACTAATTAATATAAATTCACAAATGGAATTCATTAATATATTAATAGAAATAAGAATTCACAAATGGAAAGTTTACTATATATATTAACTCACAGTAATTACTATGAGGTAACATTTAATAGGTGGAAATTGAATAAAAAAGAAAAAAAATACAAAAATGACAAGTGGAAAAAAATAATTTTAAAATTATAAGAAAATGACATGTGTCAAATTTAATAAGAAATTGACATTTGGCAAAATTATCTTTATTTATTAGGGTAGATTATTATTGTTTCTGGACTGAAGGTTGAAGTTTCGGTTATAAATGACAAAACCGGTGTTTATGAGTAAACTATCCATATATATCGTATTGTAAATCTGTAACAATCATAGTTGAAATAATATTATGACATACATACATCTCTCTCTCTTATTTGTCGTCTTAAAAGGAAACTTAATCTCATAATAGGGAAAAAAACCGTAAGAATGCTCGATAATAATATGCTAGATAGCCTTTATTATTCTTTGATGAGTTTAACGCTTTAAAGAATCACAATTTGAATGTTTTGAATGTTAAAAAAACTAGATGTATGATATGAACTCTTAAAATGCAAGTCAAAGGCACTTTGACTAAACTTTTACCTATTGACACTTAGATCATCTTCAATCTATTTTTATTTTTTTTCCTAAAAATAAGTAAAAAAGTAACTAAATAGTGTTTCATCTCTAACTTTATTCCATCTTTTATCCTATTTTTACCCACAAAAAATATATTTTATTTTTTTAATTTATATAAATTGTCAAATACATCCTTTCTATTAATTTGGTTTTAACAAATATATAATCTATATTTTTTTCATTACAATAATCTTAAATAAATAGGATAAATTACACGGATGGTCCCTGTGGTTTAGGGTAATCTGCTAGATTGATCCCTAACAACGTTTTTAACTCGGGTCGTCCCTAATTTATTTTTTCGTTACACGCTTGGTCCCTGACCATTATAAAAAGACTAAACTACCCTTAGTGATTTTTTTACCTATTTTAAATTACCAATTAATTAAATGTGGAAAAAGTATTAATTAAAAAATATTTTGGTCTGATTAAAGAACCAACATAACCGAAGCCTCCTACCCTCCTTTCCATCCTTGTGTTCAGTCGCCGGAAAATCTCACTCCTCTCGCCGGAAAATCTCACACGTTAACGATGTCTTCTGTAACGATCCAGATCCAAAAATCATGACTAAAAATTTCTTTTAAAAACATTACTAAAATCGTATTTATAAAACCATAACATAATTCATAACATAAATTCAGAGTATCAATTCAAAACATGTTCTTATTAACAGAGTAAACATCCCAGGCTGACTGAACAATGGTGTGTGTCATGCGATCACCCCCCAGCTCTTCCCTCCGATACCAGTAGTACCTGAAACCAAAACTGAAAACCGTACGCACGAAGCTTAGTGAGTTCCCCAACCTACCACATACCATGCATAATCACATATTGCAAACTCTGGGTCACACCCGCTATTTCGAGCTTCCCCCGCTACATCCGGCCTCGCCCGATCCCAGGCCCCGCCTGTCTTTAAGCCTTGCTTGGTATACAAATTTGTTTTACTTTAGGCCCCGCCTGTCTCTGGGCCCCGCCCGCTAAACGCATGCAAACATATAACCATAGCACATAACACATAAATTGAACATACCCTACTGCATTACTATCCTAAGGCCTCGCTTATTTTGGGCCCCGCCCCTGTCCTGCTACTGATGAGTCATGGAACCCCGTCCATACTCCTGTTGATAGTGAGATACGGGCCCAGTCCACACTCGCTTCTTTCCTAACTCGGGCCTTGCCCCTGTTCGTCTACTAATGAGATATGGAACCCCGTCTATACTCTACTAATGGTGAGATACGAGACCTCGCCCACACTCACCTCCCTACCAGACACATACAAGTATGATACAGACAACAAGTACACTCTATCATGCGAAACATTCCTTGGGCACCCGCCCGACATTAGACCTTGGTCCTAAATATCATACTAGAAAATAGTGCCCAGGGCTAACCCCCGGGTCTTCATACTCACAACTACATGGGCCGACATTATGGTCGTAGACCTATTCACATAAATGGAGACTCACCTTGCACTGTTAAACCCTTGCTGATACATTTCTGGCTACTATCTAACAATCCCCGCATTGCTGCTCCTCAAGCTCCCCGAACTATCAATACCACAATAATACTTAGCCCAATACAATAATCCTTCTTAGGGTAAAAGGACCATTCTACCCTTCCTAGTCCAACTTGATACATATTCAAAGTCCAACACTAGGTAAGTTTCCCAAGCCCACTAGTGACCCACTAATGGCCCAATTTGCTACATTGGGCCTAATCCCTTCATGGGCCTTACCTTAAGCCCAATTATATATTTCTTAGCCCATTATCGCTCAAACATGCCCCAAACCGCAACCCAATAATTCATGACCCATACAAACAAAGTACGTGGGGAGTACATCTACGTACGCTAAGCGTACAGGCATGGTGATGCGTACGTTGGGCGTACATGCACGTACGCTCAGCGTAATTTCCTCTGTTAATACCTTTTCCCAATAAGTGCTTAACACTCCAAACCAGAAGCTATAATCACATATCCAAGCCCATTAAGACGTATTAAGCTATAAAGGTTACTACTTGGTGGTTTGCAACCCACCAAATAAGCCTAAACTTGAAATGTGACAAAATACTTCCATAACAAGGGCTAGATCTCATGCATGAGCTCATTGGGACCATAAATATCGAGACTTTACTGCTTGTAGGGCACTTTTAGCTCTAAGGGTGGCAATCCCAAGCTCAAAGACGAAGTTATATCATAAAGGTCCAATCTTTGGACCTAAAAAGATCCCAAAGCTCCCTAACTCTATATCTAAGCTTCTATGAGGAAAGTTAGAAACTTTATACCTTCTGGGGCTTGCAAATGAGCTAGAGAACTTGGATCCAAAGGCTCTTCCTTGATCAATGAGACTTCAAGATAGTCGCTCCACTCCAAAAACACCAAAATGCACTCAAAATGGCCTTACGATCTCCAAGAACACTCTAGAGGTTTTAGGGTTTCGTGGTTGCTGAGTGAAGATGAGAAGGAGGTTGGTAATTAGGGTGTTATGTTCTTTATATAGTGGCTTACCCGAAAAATTAGGGTTTTGAGACTCTGAGCGTATGCTGGGCGTACCTCTCGTATGATGGGCGTATGCCTCCCCGAACCCGCGATCACTTGCTCTAATACGTTGGGCGTAACCCAGCTTACGCTGGGCGTACCCAGCTAAACCCACGAGTGCACTACATGCATGCAAGGGACTACCTTTCCAACTTTTCCATTAAGGGGCCATAAATGTAAAAAGTACTATAACTCCTTCATTATAAGTCCGTTTTCGACGAACTTTATATCCACGGAAAGGTGGCGACAAGTCCTACGCTTCTAGCAACACACCCCGACCCGAAACCTCATCGAATAAAACTGAGAGCCCATAAATGACCAAAATGTCCCTAGCCTTGGCTTCTGAAATCCATAAATGAATATTTTTAGAACAGGGTGTTACAACTATCCCCCACTTAAACTAGACTTCGTCCTCGAAGTCGGCTATGGTCAACTATTATGTACTCTGCTCACCACATGCCTTCCTGATGCATATATCCCCTACTGAATCTGGTCCTCAGAGGACTACCTCTAATGGCCTCCTGTCTGGTCATTCCGATGAAAACTAGTCCTCGTAGATAATACCCTCGAGTGCACTCTAATCTCGTCAGTCCTGAGAACACAACTTACTCAACCGACAATCCTTCTAGTACTCCCCGAGTACTTATGCTAAAAATCCTAGAGGTTCACCCCTATTTTCCTTGCGCGTTTTCTGGCCTTCCCAACGTAACATTCCATAACTAACCACCTCCTCTACCACTGTGAAGGACATGTCCTTCACGGTATCCATTACTCCAACCACTCCCAGTGTTGGTCACTACTACCGATACACACTGAATACTTTTTGCTATTATAACTTTGTGTTGAGCAGCCACCCAGCGAATGGATCAGATAATCTTTCGAGTAAAAGATTCATCCCTGTAACGGATAGACTCATA